GGTCCGAGGCCCGGGGGTTGGGGACCGCTGCCCTAGATGCAAACCTGCTTCAGCCAAACCATGGCAATGCCACACAACTAGAGAGTAAAGACGCAGTAGCACATAAGTCCTTTTTTAACTAATACTGCAGCCAGCAATTCTGAGCTTTGAAAACGTATTGATCTATTGAAGAGCCCGACCAATATATCAACCGCCGATCTATCAGCCAATATTTGCTATTTGGCTGATAAGGAAAAAGAAGAGACAAGAGGAAAAACCCTTCAATCATGAGTGGTGATCTTACATAGTTTGTCCACCTGAAACTCAATTTCCCTGTTGGTTACAAACATAACCATCTGATTAGAGCAGAGCTGAGTGTAAAAACAAGAAATTTACCATTACTTTTATTTCCGTTGTCATATTATCTTAGTAAATAACTAGACTTGGCCTATACTATACTAAAACTATACCTAAAAGCACATCTTCATCATCATGTTATCTCAAGCTGAAAGTTGGAAAGCTCTCATGTGCTGCTGCCAACGGTACACACTGAGAGACAGCGAAAGAAATGTTTCAGCCAGCAGTGCTCTATTTTTATTCCTCCATGACCTTTTTGGCTCGAGTTTAGTAGGTAGTCCTTGATTAGCTAGATAACCTTCCTTTTATAGCTGTATGCACAAAGCCTGATGAAGAAAGACTGGGTTACCCAAAAAAGTTGATAACAGAGTTTTTTGTACCCTTTATCTTTATCTTATCCTATTTTAGCGTGTGTCCAGTCAGCTAATGCAACTAAAGCTTGGCCATGTGGACCTTGTCTACCAATAAACACGTCTTGTTCTACAACCTTGTGAAACATTTTTCCCCCTGAAGAAAAACTTATTTTGCAACCACATAGCTTTGTAGTGATTTTGTGTCTTCCAGGCTCTGACTGTTGGGAGTTTATACGGTTTTATGCACATAAATTCTACATTTAAATTCTGATAAATTCTTTATGAAAAACTGATCAAGAGCTTGGCATTGGCCTTGTTCGCCAATATAAAATGATAGTCAGTGTTGGACAGCTAACTGCTGCATTATTCAGTTTTGCACTGACTAATTGTTTAAACCTCATGTGACGAGCTGACAGCTTTTAAAACTGTTCAGTTATTTAAAGGAAAAGCAAAACTACAAAAAAATATTGGAATTGACTAAATTGCTTTAAATGTTAATATCATCCGAGAATTGCACAGCAGTTGCATCCCTAAAATAAACAATTCAGAAGCAACTGCAGGAACAATGACAGACTGTGGTGGTATATTGGTGACATCGTGTGATGCTCCCTAACAAAAGACGACTTTCTTCCCTGCATAATCATTACCAAAGATACAGCTGCTAAATTGTGCCTCTTCTAAAACTAGACTTAACTTGCTATGGGTTGAATAGCTGGGTGCCATCTTAGAATATCCAGCTCTTTTGATATATCTATCGGGTGCTCTTTGTCACTGCACTGCTGACTCCTACTGGTTGAACAAGGTGCATGCATAGTGAGGGGAGGAGGTGGACAAAGTGGTAATCAGGTAAAAATCGTTAATAAAATAGGTTCAAATCAAGTATGCACTTTTTGTTTTTAAACATTTTATCCACCCTTTAGCACATCTGGTAAATAAAATGTTTACATGGGCCTGTAAAAGTCGTTCCTTTTGTTTTAGTTCAATTCAGTCCAATTCAAGTTCGTTTATATAGCGCGAAATCACAGCAACAGCCGCCTCACGGCACTTTATACTGCAAGGTAACGACCCTGCAGTATTAAGGAGGCATTCCCAACAATCAGAAGATTCCCTATTAGCAAGCTCTAGGCGACGGTGGGAAGGAAAAACTCGCTTTTAACAGGAAACCTCCGGAAGAACCAAGCGCGGGAACGGGGAGCCACGTGCCACGACCGTTTGCGAGGTGAGGGGACAGAGAAAAGAAAAAAGAGAGAGCATAGGAAGACAGGGCAAAACAGAAACTATAGGGAGAGAGATGATAATCACTGGTTAGCAAATTTGTTTAAGCATAATTGGATGATTTGACTTTTACTGCACTGAAAGCTTGACGCAACTGTGCAGTCAAATAAAAGTAAAACGAGGACATGTATCCTGTACAATGTAATTACATTTACTCTGAAGGTGATGCTATACCAAAGTAACAAACTTAGATTAAAAATCTGGCTTTTCTTCTTCAATTTTACTTAAAAAATACTTTAAAATATCCCTATCCCTGTGCTGTACATTCTGGTGTGTAATTTCTGCCATGAGCATGTGTGGGGGTGTTGTTCATACCTATAGCACTGAAAGTGACAAACTTGTTCTCTCTGGGGTTGATGTTCTTGTCATAGGGCCTGTTTCCCCACATGTGGGCAGCGCTGTTGACCAGCCAGGTAGCGTTCAGCACCAAGGTGTACCTAAGCAGAGTTGGGACGAAGTAGGCCACCCACAGAGACTCCCCCCACAGGTACCAAGGCACGATTGTTGGGATAATAAAGCACGTGACCAGCACGGAGAGCTTGTAATACCTGTTGAGGAGATAGCGAGAGTAGGTATCAGCAAAAAACAACAATAAAAAAGAAACAAAATGCTGCTAACTGTTAAGGAATAATTATTTAAATACAAAAACTCTGTTTGCCAGATAAGAAAATGCTCATTTTTTTCCCACTTGACCTACTTTCCATTCAGGCCTGCTCTCCGTGAATCTTATGTTAGTAATTGTCATCTTGTTAAACCAGAATGACTAACACAGCTTGTCATTATGAAAACATCTCCACAGCAGTACGCTAACATTTATTTATATTTATAGAAACTGCAACATTACTGTCTTGCTATTTGCACCCATTGCACTTTGTTTTTTTAGCAACTAGATGCAGTGTGAAGTCTGAACCTTAATCATGCCACTTACTTCCTCTGAAACATGACAACTTTGTCTGTTAGCAGGTCGGTGAGCTCCAGCTTGCGTCCTTTCTCAATCACGTCAGGGTGTTTGCGCACCAACAGCCAGCCGATATGAGAAAAGAAAAAGCCGCGGACGGCATTGTGAGGGTCGGCGTCTGTTTCCGAGTATTTGTGGTGAACCCTGTGGTCTCGAGCCCATTCAAAGATATCATTCTGTGGTTTGGAATTAAGACCAAGATTATGCACACTGTTGACAAAGCACGGTACTTATAGTGAAACAAAAGCTGCTATTATCTTGGCTCCAGGTCATAAGTGTGTGTTTGTATACTAAAAAGATGTGTCAGCAGAACAGTCATTTTTGCTTGCCTGAAATGCCATGGAGTTAGCTACACCGAGGAAAATCCTTAAAGGTAATGTAGCCTTGTAGGATCTGTGACTCCACAGGCGATGCGCTCCTGCAGTGACTCCTAACGCACTTATCAAAAAACAAAGTACAGCTGTGGAAAGAAACACATGGGCAAATTAGTTTGACCTACTTTTGTGCTCATGTCAAAAGCACTTTGTTGCACAGATGCTGCACACTGCAGTGTTTGTGCATTATTTTCTGCACAATTGCACTGTTATTGTTAGGGCTGGGAAGAACATCCAGCAACAAGTGACAAATCACGAGACACATACATCGTGACAGCAGCGCTTCTGTTTTTCCCCCCAAATAGCATAAATTGTTAAAGCACTAGAGTATTTGTTTACCACAATCTTTATCAATTTGATCCAAAAGGCTCTTGAGAATTTGATTAGATTTTGTGCACAATTTCCAGCGGAAATTGCAAATTTCCCTCAGGTCACCTGGTTAGCACTGGCCTGTCTGTTTCACAAGGAGATTACAGTGTAAAGCTGTGTCCTTTAAAAGAAGCCAAATCTAATAATAAAAACATTTCATGGTTGAGTTCATGAAAGACTAAAAGCTAAAAGAGTTGTGACACAGCAGTGAAGAAACTGTATAAATAAAGTGCAGTTTATGCTAATTATCCAGCTATTCTTGATTTGTCTACTTGATCTTTATTTTTAAAAACATGACATTAAGGAGGCCAGTTTTTTTTACTGACAGCCAAGCTTAAAAGTACGTGCTGTGACATGTAATCTCTGATGACTTTATTCCTGATCTATAATCCTCCACCTCCATGAAGGATGCTGGGAGGATCACAGATATATGCAGCCGCCTATTTGCATTCACCACCGGCGAGAAAAGCAGGACGTGCTGCTGACATAACAGCTGTTGATTTGATAAAATATGATTTCCACTAAATAAGTAAACAAAACCAACATGCAAAAAAGGGAGAAAGGGGGACGTAACAGGCAATTTTCTTTTCGCACTTACACCAAAGCAAGGTCAAACGAGATGCTGAAGGTACGACGAACACGCCGTACAAGGCTCCTATGTGCAACAGAGTCATCAGTATGACATTTTTCCATACGATGATCCGGGGAGGTTTTGGGCCCTCTTTCTCTTTGTACGTGTGATCAAACGCGTCTTCTCTGGCGCTCTCTGGAAGAACATCCCCGTTGCTGGACTTGCGCTGCTGCTGCTTGTTCTCTAACGCCTCCGCCTCCGTCATTGTGGCAGCGGTGCTGTGATGCTGTGAGCGGCAAACAGAGGAGAGAAGTCAGTCGCCTCGGCGCTTTTTGTGTGTAATGGAGGCTGTTTTGTCAATATGGTAATTAATTTTTGTGCTGACTAGCCCCGGTAGGCTAGCTGCTTGCTGGCTGGCGCTGTCGGAGGATGAAGAGGAAGACGGTAGCGATGATGCTGACTTATAAAGCGGTAACGCGACGCTCCAACGCGCCAAAAAAAAAAACTGATGAAACACCTGTGGGAGGGAAAAATTTTACTCAATAACTCACCGAAGATAGGCAGAAGGGCAGAAACGAGATAAACGGAGGACAGTCTGCTTGACCCAAAATTACAGTAACCCAGAAAAGGGAGAGTGATAGCTCCGCAATGAGAACTGGAACTCGTGGTGTGGCCGACCAATGAGCGCTCGCCTGTCGCCTCTAGCTCGGGCTCTGATTGGCTGTTTGTTTATCTGCTGTTCACCTTTTATTCATTCTCCGGTTTGCCAGATGTATATTTGCCACCCCTGGAGACTAGCCGATCTTGTTGCTGTCTAGACACGCACAAAAATTGAACCGTGTAACCGTTTTCCTTTTGAAATCACGCGTGGACTGAAACACAAGCACTGTGTTAACGATGCAAGTGGAACAAAACAAGTTACTGTACCCAAACCCCGGCAGTAGAGCCCCCTCCCCCCTGTCCTCCACCCACGTAGGAAAATAGGATGCTTCATCTGTTACGTCATCCTCATTCTCCGTCTATAGAAATAAAAACTTTCAATGTGCCTAAAAATAGCATAAGCTGCTGAACACCAGAAAAAGTATTTTAAGCATGACGGGAAAAAACAACTGAGTCTCCATAAACCCTGCAAAACAGATCGAATAGGCTGTTTACGTCACCATGTGAAGAAGAGCTTTGACTCTGCTGCAAAATAGAAACAGATACACACTGCATGACCAAATTAAGGATCACACGGCCCATATTTACCCGGGCGAGCAGCAGAAAATGGATGGATGGTTGGATGGATGGATGAACACACCAATGGGTGTTCACCCTCTTGACCTACATTTGAAAAAAAATGACAATCTGTCGCCATCTAATGGTGAAATGGGGCAGCGCACGCAGCCGATACTGTTGATTTTCTGCAAACAGGGCTCACCTATTACTAAAATCTCCAATCCCCATGCTCCAGCAGCAGACAAAAAAATTAGCACCACATTGATAAATGCATATCACCGACTGACTGATACATATATTTTTTTCCTGCAGCATCTATCTGGCGTCATCATCAGGCGCCCGTATTTACTTCTGGTCCAGTTAGTTGCTGCTGATGCCTGCTGCGATGGAAGTAAACAGGGACGAAGCGGAGCGCTGCATTGACATTGCAGCGGCCGCCTTAACCAACCAACAGCCGGACAAGGCGCAGAGGTTCCTGGAGAAGGCGCAGAGGCTCTTCCCGACAGAGAAAGCCAAAGGTAAGTCAATATGGGGGGAAAGGGGGAGGGGGGCGCACATTCAGCTGCGAAGATGCGCATCATCACCTCCACAGCCTGCAGCATCACCTGCACTTCTCATGAGCAGCGCATGTAGCCAGGGCCTTTGATAGCACTTAAGCTAGCTGGTTCATTTATGCAGCTTCTGCGTTTTTTCTTATTATTCTTTTTTTTTTTGTACGAATTTCACTTTAAAATGAAGCTGTCCCATCAGTGTCTGCTGTGCTTTAATTTGCTTTTCTAACAGAAAGCTAAGCCTTTAATTTAGGTGAACAGGAGTGGACTGGGAGAAAGGCAAAATAAGTCCTAGATGTCCAAGATTACTACATGTTACTTTCACGTGATTATTTCAAAAATTATTTTTGACAACACAGGTATTATCCTTCTAAGCTCGCCAATCTAGCTCAATAATAAATAAATAAATACAGAAATACAACATTCAGCTGAATAAAAACAGAAAGGTGATCAATATAGCCACACGTGCAAACAAATGTACTATATTTATTGCTGTGAAAAAGATTGTCTTTTTCTTGTTTTTGTATTTTTTTGTACATTTGTGCCACTTACATGCTTCAGATCATCAAACAAAATTCAGTACTACACGGAGATCATCTTGGATTCATTTTGAATCGATCAGTCACTTTAATAGAATCTCTGACAAAGTGAAGTGGGCTAAAAGATCTCAAAAAGCAACACATTATGCCACGTGCAGAGAAACAGTCATTGGCATCTATCAGTATGGAAGGGGTTAGAAAGCCATTTCTAAGGCTTTTGGACACCAGCGAACCAAAGTGAGAGCCATTATTTACAGTGGTGAACCTTCCCAGGAGTACCTGACCTACCAATAGTACTCCAAGAGCACATCAATGGCTCATCCAGAAGCTCACAAAATTATGTGGACTGATGAGACAAAAGCTGAACTTTTTAGAAAGGTTGAGTGCCTTTGCATCTGGCATAAAACACACAGCATTTCATAAAAAGAACATCAGACCAGCGATTGGTTTCTGCGTTGAAGCTCAATCGCAGAAACTTAATCTGAAAGCAACCAGCAAGTCCACCTCTAAATAAAAACCAAATGAAGGTTTTGGGTTGGCCTAGTCAAAGTCTGGAGTTAAATTCTATTCAGATACTTTAGGATGACCTTAAACAGACCATTCATACTGAAACAATTCTGCCAAAAATTCTGCCAAAAATTCCTCCAGAGTGACGTGAAAGATTCATTGTGAGTTATCCCAAATGCTTGATGCCAGTTCTTGCTGCCGTGGATGGCACAACCAGTTATTAGGTTTAAGGGGCAATACCTTTTTCACACGGGGCAGGTAGGTTGGTTAGTTTTTTCACTTAATAAATGAAATCCTGATATAAAAACTGCACTTTGTATTACATTTGAGTTATCCATGTCTACCATTAAGTTTTCTTTGATTCTCAAACATAGAAGTGGGACAAATGTGCAAAACAAATATGACATTAGGAAGGATGCAAATACTTTTTCGCACCACTGTACATGGTGGCATGTGCTTGTGCCCAACTGTACCTCTTCTTAGATTCCACACCAGATACGCCTTAGACCATGACCCACCTCACATATAAATATAAAACCTGTTAAAACTGCAACCACAGCATATCTGAAAATAAAATAAAAGAAATAAAGCTGGTTTTTGTTTTTGATTTTAGTTATAACGGTTCAAGCCACTTTGTTTTAGTTATTTCAGATTTGTGCAAGCAGAAAAACAATGGCGCAAGCAGACAGATCCTCCAACAAAAACTATATTTAGTTTAATGATTTTCAAACATAGCTACAGTTTTATTCTCTGCCCCCAATAAGCTCTTATAATACCGTTGAACTTGATTGCTTGGTTGCTTTACATCTGATTAATGACATGGATAGTCCCACTATCGAAAATTTTGTGTTTTTAACTGCTGTTGAGTACTTGATAGAATATCTTTGAACATATCTTCTAGTATTGCTGGATGTAATAGCAAAGAATGGATTTACACCCAGACAAGATATCCATTCAGACTTCAGCGGGGTGTCGGAGCCTCGACAACGGCAGAACATAAAGGAGAACGCCAGACCTGAAGAAAAGCCTGCAGAGTCTTCAAAATCCTACATGGCTGATCAGCTAGAAGCTGTGAGGAGGTACGTAAGACTGCTGATTACATAAACATACTGTTGGTTAAAATAAACTCCTTGATGGGTATATTGACTGCAATTGTGATTGAAATTTGTAATCATGTGCTCTCTGCACAGGATAAAACAATGTAAAGACTTTTACGAAATTCTCGGGGTGTCAAAAGATGCCTCAGAGGATGAACTGAAGAGATCGTACAGAAAACTTGCTTTGAAATTCCATCCAGATAAGAACAGCGCTCCTGGGGCAACAGAAGCGTTTAAAGGTAAGACGGCGATTAAACTCATCCAAGGTTAATATAGCACTTACAGAAAGCAACTTATAGCAGCTTCATGTTATAACTTTCCAACAGCTATTGGCAACGCGTACGCTGTTCTGAGCAATGTTAACAAAAGGAGACAGTACGATCAGTGTGAGGAAGAGAGAAGACATCCTTCCAGACACGGCCCAGACAATGGAAACTTTGAGCCGGATATTTCACCTGAAGAGCTCTTTAATATGTTCTTTGGAGGAGGCTATCCATCAAGTTAGTCTCATAGTTTGGTGTTTCCATATAATGCATGTGAGACGGAGTATTTTAATTGCAAATATATATATTTCTGTAGTGCGTTTTTCATGTGCTAAATGTGTTAAATCAATCTAGGCCATGCTCACGTATACAATAATGGACGGATGCGTTACCAAAGGCGGGAGAGAAGAGAGCGACAGCAAGATGTAAGTTTGATACTTAAAAAGCTAAACTGTAAATGTATAGAGTTGTTTATGTTTTGCCAGCAGGGGGAGACATTTAGTCATCTGTCGTTTTACAAGCTGAGGCTTCTCTCAGAGATTGTGTGTGTTTGTTTGTAATGTGTTTTTCCACAGGGAGGTCTCGCCCTCTTTGTGCAAGTCATGCCCATCCTCATCCTGGTTATTGTGTCAGCTCTCAGTCAAATAATGGTCAACAGCCCCTCCTACAGCCTCAGCTTCAGGCCGTGAGTGTGATCCTTGTAACACAAAAATCTAAAGTAACACAACTAACTGTTGTTCTGCAAAACTGCGAGGGACTTAGACAAAAGATTATCTCTACGTTAGCAGAGTCCAACCCAGGTTTTTTTCACGGTACTTCTGCTTTCAGTCGATCTTTGCATAAGCTTGGTGGTCGTGTTAGATTTGCCTTCGCAGTATTTGCTGTTGTTTCTCCTCGTATAAATTTGCTGCTACCTCTGTTAGTTCCAATTAATCACAGAGCTCCTCTTGTTTGTGCTGCTGTCATGTGTCTTGTCCCGTTCCCAGTACACTGCCTTTGTGTGTTCAGATATACGCCTGCAGTTTCGGGCCCTGCTTTAAACCATTGTCAGCAGTGACTCGTGTTAAGACAGACAGATGGTGCAAGATCTGTGCTGCATTCTGTCATATGATAACACTCCCACACTCTGGCCTGTTGTCACGTAGGTCAGCAGGTTACTCACAGAAGAGGCTGACTGAGAACTTGAAGGTGCCATATTATGTGGGGGAGCATTTCTCCAAAGAATTCACTGGTGTGAATCTGAAAAATCTGGAGCGGACGGTGGAGGATGATTATATTTCCAACCTTCGCAACAACTGCTGGAAAGAGAAACAGCAAAGTATGACAATAAATGATTCTTATATCTGAGTTTAAGCATGAGTATTGGCGTGGTTGTCAGTGTCATTATCAGTGCTGAGATCGTTTTTTAATTGTGTGTGTGTGTGTGTTTGTTTTATACAGAGGAAGGAATGCTATACAGAGCTCGCTATTTTGGGGACAGCGATCTATACCAAAGAGCACAGAGGGCTCGCACACCAAGCTGCGCCAAGTTGTCCGAGATCACAGCTTCTTTACATGGATGAAAATGCTTTCATGATTCAAAGCAAGTTCTTCAAACTCTGAATATTTTCTCATTTTGGCACCAGGGATGGGGCAAGATATTGACATTCCAATATATAGCATTGATTCCCCTTGATTAACTTGGGATTGCAGGAGGGCTGAAGCCTATCTCAGCTTGCATGGGGCTAAAGACTTAATACACAACCAGACAGACAGCCCATCAGAAGGCTTTCCGCTTGGTTATCCTCTGTTTTCTCAATACCATATTTGGCTTCAGTATGTCAATACTTGTATCATGCAAGCACATCAGACCAATTTTACTTACCAGAATCACAGCTTCATGACACTTGAACTTCTAAAAAGAATGGTGGTAAAGTCAACAAAAGTCAACCAGCTTGCTGTGAACACGTTTTGAAAAAGGCTTTTTTTTTCTTGTCTCCAGGTTTCCAGAATCACTACAAAAGATTACCAGTAATTTATTAAGATGCATTTCTACAATCTGGAGGCTGAAGATGACTCAACAAGGAGCAGACCAGCACCACTCGTCACCAAACAGATCACACAAACTAACTCAAACAATTTCTGTGGAAGTCTAGTATGTGGTAAAAAGATATAGCGTTAATATAGTGTATTAGAATGGAAATGGTACTTAAAATAGCTTGCTATCCTCAAAAAATGTGGGTTTGAAAAACTTTAGGTCACTTGCGCAACTCTGGTTCTCAGAAAAGCATTTGTTTCGATGGCTCACTATGCGATGCTCCTCCTTGGGTATTCCTCAGAAATATTTATTTCATTATGCCTATCCTGACTGGCTGATGATCGTAAGAAACGTGTCATTCAGAACCAACCACCCTTAAGTAGCTTGCACAAATAAGCTATCTTTATTCAAGATGAGCTAGGCAGCTAGCACCCAGTTAGCTAACATTCCTGTCTGTGGACAGTAAAACTGGCTAGCCTGTATTGCAGGTTGAGAGACTGCATAGTAGAGGTGAATGATACAAATATCGAATGTATCGATATCAACACTGTGGTATTGGATCGATACTAGTATGATGGGATTCATACTTTGTTTCTATCCTCTAAGTTTGGTATGTATCCCACTGAATTGTGTTAAATGAATTCTTTTGTTTGTGTATTTTTCCATTACAAAAAATACCATAGTATAAAAACGAAACTATTTTTTTGTGGGGACTGTTACATCTATTTTATTTATAGCCTATAGCACATTTAAACAACAGAAGTTGACCCAAAGTACTTAAGAGATAGGCACATATACACTCCAGATCTTCCAAAAACCCTGTTACATGAAATACATGAAAAACTGGAAGTTGTGTTGACAAATTATTGTGGAAATAAAAATCATAGTGATTTGTGGTCATGAAAACATGTTTAGAATATGCTAATTTGATGATAATGTGATCACCAATCAATTAGGATTGGCATAATGGTGCTGAGTACACAGGGAGGCGCATTCCATGTCTAAACGTCAAAACAAATTCTAAGAATGAGAACCTCCAAGCACTAAAGAAAGAACATAAAGAACACTTTATATTTGTTTTGGGGGGAATGCAGTATGAAAACTGACCATACTTAAGTTATATGTAGTCATATGGATGTTATTTATGTAGCAATATAACAGATGCCACATTGAATGCCATCTCCTTGATTTTATGCTGTAATTCAATGGAGAAAAGTTTGAGGGGTTTTGATTTTAGATGCACATTCTCAGACTATGCAGTAGTAATCTAATATGTCAAATGTCTAGGCTTTTTAGACACTTGAACACCTGAAATTTGTCTTCTTCTGCTGTGTGTGTGAGATAGCCACTAGGACATGTCCCTGTCACTTTACCTCCTTTAAATGTATTAAGGGCAAACATGTAGTACAACTTCACAATAAATGCCATGAGAATGAGACGTGGTGATCCACAAAATGAGACTTTAACCAGTTCAAGTTGGGAACTGTCACGTCTCTGCTCAATCTGTCGGAAAAAGCCATTTTTTGTCTCCGTTTTTAAGTTTATAGTATGCTACTTATTCTTTGTATTATTTCTTGGAGAAATAGATTATAAAGAGAGGATAAGAAAACCATACAGATCTTGTTCACTTTGTTTTTCCACCATGTTTTTAATTCTAGATGAAAATAAACATGGTTGCTCAAACGTGCTAAGTGTGACTCTCTGCTTTGAACAGAACAGGCACAGTATGGGAGACAAAAGCTCAGTCAGCGCATTTGGCACGTACAGTGTGCCGGCCGGCTTACAGAGACAGGGAACTAGAGACATGGCTGCATGCACGTTCAGCTCTTCAGTGACGTGCAAAATGTGCCTGGCAGGATGTGCAGCGTCACATTCTTTCAGCACAAACACACTCAGCTGTTTTTTTTTTTGCAGACTGCAGATGCTGCACCTCTGATTCATGACTTTGACTTCTTCAAATTTCACACTAGCTTTTTTTTTTTAGGTTTTTAAACTTTTGCGTCATCGTACATGATGTGGCTTTAATGGCTGCTACATATTCCTGTCAGCTGTTCTGCATCGGAATACCGTTAAACACTGTACCTCACCGCACCAGCTGGTGTGCTCTAGTGTAGTTTGCGTTTGTAGATTTTGCAGACTGGGTTCACACATGCACGCACATTTGAAGACTTGATGATGTTCATTCGCTTTCTCTCATTCTTAGATCTCTCCTAACTCTGTCAGCAAAGTCAACTATGGATCATTTGGATATGAAAGATTGAATAAATAATAATAAGAAAAAACAAAATGTTAGAAAACAATAATTTATTTGCATTCAATAAAGGTACAAAAAAAAAGTTCACTGAGTATTTGAATATCAACCGAAGCAGGACAGGGCTGCACAACACAAGATCAAGTTACATTTGTAATCTTAGCTGCGGCTTGCACAAACAATGCACTAGGCAAGCAAGGGTAGACCTTTCACAGTTCACAAAGGTTACCAAATGTTCTCTTGGTGTACCACTTCATCAGGCTTTGTCCAATTCAATTAACTGTCATGTATAAAAAGAAAAAGAACACAATGAACTTGAATAATAACTATAACAATATAGCTAGCTGCCGTTGTTTAGTTTCAATAGAAACTGAGGTATGCACTTCCAATACTTGTAAATGCCATGTCACCAGATATAATATGATGGTTACATGTTGTCATTTTAAAATCTGAATGTCAGTGAGTGAGTATTAGAAGCACTGCCTGCTCCAGGTACCATAAAGTTTAGCCCCTTTACAGTGGGAACAGTAGACTACATCATGACAAAATCCATCTGATACACTTCAGAATGCTTCATATACATGTAATTACAGTAATAGGCCCCTTTGTGAGCTTTTATTGTCCTCTTGTCAGCATCAAAGCACATCAGTGTTTGTATTACTTAACATTCCTCAATTAGAAGATCTTCAGAACTATACAGCTTCTTCTTGATCACACGGAAACCAGTGCTAAGTTTAATAGCTTGTCTCACTACTGGAGTAGAAGGAGACTTTGTGCTAAAAAGTCCTTGAATTTTAGGCCAAAGGCCGCCCGACTCTAGCCTCAACACCAGAGCGAGCTGAAATGTAGGGACAAGGTATGGGTCCACAGATAACTGTCCCATGCTCTCACAAACATCCCCTTGCTCAACGCAGAGGTCAATGAGAGCCCCTCTTAAACCGCAGGGCTCACTAGCTGCCAGATGAAGGAGCTCCTGTCCAATGTGCTCCAGAAGTTTGTCTGGAATGAGCAGTTTTGTACATCTTAAGGCGCAATCTGTGTCTTTGGCTTCTCTCAGACTTCGTGCAATCAGGTCCACTACTTCTTTTAAGAGTGTCTCCTCCATTGGATCGTAAAACAGGTCCTCATTGAAGGCACACAAGTCACTTGAAACATCTGAACCTGTGTAAAAGACAAGAATGGGTTAGAACCTGAAACTTGCATACAGAAGAAAAGAATCATGAGATGTGAGATGCCAATGCAGCATTGCTTACCTGAGTCTGAGAGATCACTCCTGCTGCTATTGTTGGACCCTGACTCCATACTCCTGCTGCTGGCAGGTGTGCTGAAATCAGTCAGTCTTTGAACCAGTTTGCCCCAGGACAGCCTTCTGTCGCTGCTGTCCACTGGAGAAGGAGGTGAGCTGCCGATGTCAGTATATGCAAAGAGTTCAGGCATGGTTGTCCTTTCTGCAGTATCAGCTGCTTATGTGGTCAACTGTCACAGGAGAAACAAAGGCAACAGATGAGCACCCAACTACTGCCGTTAATTCCACGTTTAACGACTTAATTAAACATACATATCAGGCTTTTGAGGTATAGCTTTCTGCTAAAGATATGAACAATAAACATTTTTTAAAAGAACAGCTTTTTAATTTGACTGCAGCTAGAAGCTGTTTCACTGTCAAAATTAGCTGTAAACTAGCAAAACTGGCAAATAAATTTATTGTACTTACTCGTTATTTAAATTCTGCGTGGTTCAAGGTCGCTGTGGATGTTTAAGATGCGTAGGTTTAACCGTTATTGTCTGCAATTTCTATCTGGAAACTTCTTTCTTCTGCTCTTCCTCTCTTTCTCTCACCAGCTGCCAAGCTCTGCAGTCTGTCCTGCAACAATGTTTATATATGTGGGCTGCGAAGCCACGCCTGTCTCTCCCTACCCAGCCAATCAAAAAGAGAGGCACGACACCAGCGCTGCTTCTTGCCTGGTAACATGCCAGCAGAGAAGAAAGACAAACAGGAGGAGGAGGAGGAAGGGGGGTGGTGGGGGATGAATAGCAGACCTTAGTGTTATGGATATGTTTCAGGGGACTTGAGTGGGCTTGAAAATGATCTTGTTGTTTCTTTGTTTGATATCTTATGTGGGTATTTGGTAAACCGTTTTGCTGTATGTGCACCTACATTTTAACAGAATGTAGGCCTGGATGAGCAGGTTCAGTGTTGCAGTGCACATTACGTCACCTGTTTTGCTAAACCATTACATCAGAATTTTTTATCTGGCACACAGAGATGCAGAGAACACTCAGTGCGCTGTGCACAAGGCAAAACAGATAATAAAAACGGCTACGGGACACCTCTTTCTACATTTACCCTTGAGTTACAAACAAAAAGACTGCACATAAATTACATATGTTATCATCATTATTATTATTATATGAGTTATTTAGCAACGTTGTACGCAGAAATGCGCCGGGGGGGTTGTTATTGTAGCATCTTTGCACCATTTATTACTTCATCACAAAAGATGCTCTGGTGTTAGCAAAGTGTTTTAAAGCATAACACAAACTGTGTATGAGAGTAAAAACATATAGCGGATTTGTTAGAATACAAAAGCAAGTTATTTGTGTCGGGGCCATAGGCTACATAGTACACATTTTGCTCACAGCTGTATGTTGGAAAGCAGCCAGAGGCTATGCTGCATTTCTGCACGTGAGTAGGCGTGGAATACACTGTACTATGTTAGACAGGAACTGAAATACATAAACACGTGTACGAACACTATGTTCTGAGGTGGATGCTATAAAAAAGTTATCAGAAAGCTTTAGCTGGGACGTGGATTAAGAAGATTTAGTAGCTTGAGTAAAAACAACAAAAACTATGAGAAATAACTTTTTAATTGGATTCTCAGAAAGTGTGGCCAGAAACAAACTAGAAAAACAAATTTAGGCTCCAGCCAGAGGTGTGTCCTGTTGTGTTCAGGGCTGTCCTGAAACACTCAGTACAGTACAGTACAGTACACTCTGTACACTCCCACCCTTCACTTGCTTGAAGACAATCATTCACTGAGGAAAACACCAAGATTTGCACGTTTACTCACTGTCACCACAAGACAAAAGTGGCACGGAAAACTGCACTGATGGGTTTCAGACTTCAGCTCGTTCAAAGAACAGAATGAACAACAGCAATATCAAAATACATACCACAAAAAAAGCAGCATAAAGACTTTTCTATCCTTGGATTTAACAAAACTCAACACGGTGAGGTGGAGTTGGACAAAATACACAGCACCAGGCAAAACAAACAGCAACCAATGTGAAGAATGTCCCAAGTCTGATTTTATTTACAAGCTCTCTTTGTTTTGTTCCAATTGCTGGTGGAATAAGGACATACACAGAAAGGAGAAGAGACCAACAGTGCAGCAGGCTTTACATTTATAAGCTACATTGGAGCCATTTGGAAACACAATGCTTCTCTTCCAGGGATTTAATACCAAATGTAGAATTTACATTAACATGAAGGCTAATTCCAATGAGAGAATCATCTTGAACAGCCTAAAGCAGATGGAAAATCGGTTACCTTGTGAATTGTGTAGTTACTAATTTATAAGAATGTTGTTGACAAGATTTTATTTAGTATGCTGGGTTTAATGTAATAAGTGGTTTAAAAATAAAACAATCATATAGAAGTGATAAAATAACACATCTCACATTTGGGATCTCCAGATAACACTTTTAAACTTATGATACAGAATACAGCAGGAATATCATTTGTAACTTGAAAAAAAAGGTTACATTTTCCTTCTATTTGGCTGATTAAATAAGCAAAAGACATCTGAATCTCTTTATTTAAGATGGTGTGAATCCCAATAGCTGTTCAATAGGTTTATACCGCCACTCGTCTGCTTCTAGCTCCTCCACCAAGCTCGCGAGTTTCTCCATTCGAGACACTTGCTGATCTGTAAGAATGGACATTACTCATTAGTATACCTGTTTCTATTAGATCAGGGGTGTCAAATGTAAAGCCTGGGAGCCAGAACTAAAGATTTTAATTCGGCCCACATGGCTTTAGAACAACTGAAGGTGGGCATAAATTTAACTGTATTTTCATAAAAATACAGTTAAATAATGATAACCATTTATATGATGCCAACGTGATTAAGTAATGGATCAAAACAAAAAATGTTTGTTTTTTCACCGTCTATATATCTCGCAGGGATAAAATTTTAGTTACACTGTGAGAAATGGGAGTTTCACTCATCCAGCCCATTTATGATGAAGGTAGGCTATATGTGGCCTATAATGTAAAATGAGTTTGGCACCCGTGTTAGATCAACCAAGACTAATGTGAGGCTATGCAAATATAGTTAGACTTACCATGTTTAACCTGTTTCAGTGTTGAGGCCACTTGGTAGCTGAATACAGACTCGCATAAAAATCTGTCAGAGCCATCTAAAAAGAAACGTAAAATGAAAAAAAAAGTTCAGTCAAATAAAGAATTCTTATTCAAGCTTTGGTCTCCAGGGTAATAAAAGCCAAAACGTAGATTTCAAGCTACATCAGAAAGAGATCTTAAAATATTTCATATATTTATGACATAAGAAGTACAACAACAGTAAAATACAGCTAAAATAGTTTTGGGTTTTTAAAAAACATTACAATGTCAAAGCCTAAGAGACATCATCCATTAGTATACACTCAACCACCATCGTATTAGGCACACCTGTTTAGCGGCTTGATAACGCAAACATGCAATCAGTGAATCACAGGGCAACTCAATGGTCAAGACAACCTCCTGAAGTTCAAACCGAGTGTCAGAATGGGGAAGAAAGTGAGTCAAGTGACTCTGAATGTGGCAAAGTTGTTGGCATTTCAGAAACTGCTGATGTACTGGGATTTTCCCAAACAACCGAGGTTTTCGAAGGTTTCCAGAGAATCGTACGAAAAAGATAAAATATCCAGTGAGCAGCAGTTCTCTGGGTGAAAATACCTCGGTGATCTCAGAGGTCAGAGAAGAATATCCAAAATGCTTCAGGCTGATAGCGAAGCAAGAATCAATGCAAACAACCACTTGTTAAAACCAAAGTAAGAAGAGCATTTTTGAATGCACAACACAACAAATCTTGAAGCAGCTGGGCTACTGCAGCAGAAGACCCCACCGTGTGCCGCTCCTATGAACTAAGAACAGGAAATTATGACTGGACAATAGACAAAAGAAATGCTGCATGGTCAGATGAGTCTCGATTTCTGCTGCCACATTTTTAGGGTCAGAATTTGGCGGGACCAATATGAAAGTATGGATCCTTCCTGCCTTGTATCACTGGATCTCGCTATTGATGGTGGTCTAATTGTGTGGGAGATATTTTCTTTCTTGAGCATGATTTAAATGCCACATATTACCTGAGTATTGATGTTGATAATGTCCACCCCATTATGAGAACGGTGTACCCATTTTCTGATGGCTGCTTCCAGCAGGATAACACACCATATCACAAGACTCAAATGATCTCAAACAGGCTTTTTGAACATGACAATGAGTTCACTGTATTCAAACTGCCTCCACAGTCACCAGGTGGAACAAGAGATTTGCATCATGGATGTGCAGCAACTGTTTAATAACATCATGTCAATATGGACCAGAAACTGGGAAGAATGTTTCCAGCACCTTTGTTGAATCTATGCCATGCCCCACACAGCATAAAAGGCTTAAAAGGCTTAAGGGTTTCGCTTTATCTTAATGTGTCTACCATGTGCAAGAGAAAGCACTTGATTGTGAAGAAGAGAGGCAGACTCTGCTTTGTAGTAACATATCTTTCTTAAATACTTTAGAAACACAGGCACATATGTTCTCAGTGTTATACTAAAGTTGGCAGATATTATAATATTAAGGTATTATGTTGCAAACCTCCTACCATTATATATGCTTTTCATATGATTTCTACCTCCTGGCTATTTGGGAGCATTTGGGCAGCTTTTATACAAGTACTTTTATCCGTTTTTCCTTCATCGTACCTTCCATCATTTCCCCTGCGCCTTTTGGATACGTATAGAGGACTTTCCTTGGTGGGATGAGCTCGGAAGCACTGAACCCGGAGCCAGTCACGGAGCTGCCGCTCACTCCTCCCGCAGAAGAGGACGAAGAAGACGCGGCCATTGCCTCGATAAACTTTAAACAACACACACAACAACGACTGTTGTTACTACCAGTTTAATGTGTCAAACACAGATAAAGCAAGGTGGTTCATGTTCTAGTAATCACAAAGGCTTTTAAACATCCAAACCAACCGGTAGGGGTTAGCTTGGAAGGACTGTTTCACTAGTTTTAATGATACAACATTGCTAGCAATAAAGCTAACTATTCTGCTTATACTAATGTTGATGATAACCACCCAGCAGAAATATTAACAAATATAATATGGCAAGAAGTCTCCATTTTTATTTAAAAGTACAACTTACCGTCGATGTCACAGCAAATATAACAACTTAAAATCCAGCCAGTTTTTGTTGTTTTTCAGACGTATACCAGTAGTTTACGACAGAGACCGCATTTTACGTTCGTCGCGACAGGGGTTGCTGCTATCGCAGATTTTACAATCATAGGGATGGCTCGTCTCAGTCGTCTGTCGCTAAAAGGTCGTTCAATGACTTTTGTAGATCTGTTAACACATTTTCCGACATATTTAAAACGTCACTAACCAGGACAGTTCCAACTAGCTAGCTAAATAAGTTTTGAAAGACAGACTTTGTTATTTTATACAATTTTCACTTAGCTGACAAGCTAGTATATTATCTATTAAGTGTTTTTGACGTCACCAAAAGTCACCTCAGTATCGCCTGAACCGTCGTTTCTGTTGTCAGATTTGCACAGGTTTGCTAACACTAGCTAGTTTACCAGTATGGATGTCTTACGTCCACCTCTTATAAATATAAATGGAAGAATATACCGCAGGAATATAATTAAGGAAGAGCATTATGAGGAAGAGGAAGAGTTTTCTTACATGGGACCACCAGGTAAGTCGAGAACTATCCGCTAACAGGTAAAATACATGTTTGTAAGAAGCTCCAGATAATGCCTTCAGATTTAAGCACAGTTTCTTTTTAAAAATGTGAGTATATTTCTGTGTTTCTAGATGATGAAGAGCTTGGAGAAGATGAAACCTGTGATACCCACTTAATTGAACAGAGTGATAAAGGATATCGCTGTGCCATCGATGTCCCAAGTGTTCTTTACAAGTGTGTCATCAACAGATCAAAAGTAGACCCATGCTTTGGTTGTCCTTAACCTTTCACTTTCTGAAAATAATACAAGATTCTGTAAGCAGCATAACGTCTGTCTGTGTTTCTCTGTTTTCTTTGTGTTCTGTAGATACATCATTGGGAAAAAAGGAGAAACGCGTAAACGTCTGGAGTTTGACACAAAGACGTCTATTAACATCCCAAAACAAGGAGTGGAAGGGCAGATTGGTGGGGACTAAGGGCAAATGTTACGTAAAAACTGAACAGAGAGCAAAAGATATTTCCCTTCACTAATTTCCCTCCACTCCCTCATTGTGTAACAGTCATTACAGGTTCCACCAAAACTGCAGTTTCATCTGCTGTCACTCGGGTCGAGGTCCTTGTTGAGAGTTTCCGGAGGAAGCAGCCCTTCACACACTTTTTGTCATTCCCTTTAAACGACTCAAAAGTTCAAGAGGGATTCCTGAGATTTAAAGACGAGGTTTTGAAGCAATGTTCACAGGTATCTTCTGTAAAAAGGATCCAAAATATAACTGGTGACAGTGAGGGGCAGTTATGGCAATGTATTGCTTAAGGAGAGCATTTTACATCATTAACAAATTCCATGTTCTGTAGGATCATGGAGTAGAGGAAAGCATATTTCAGAACCCTGCAAAGCTCCACTTGACCATCGGCACCTTGGCTCTGTTAAATGAAATGGAAGTGAGAAAAGCATGTGAACATCTCCAAGAGTGTCAAAACTTCATCAGGTAAGGCCCGAACAAGGTTATTGCATTATACAAAGCACTTAATGATTTTGGTGTATGACTACAAAAGAAATTGCACTTTGAAACAGAATGAAATGTTAAACATAAGCGATCTAAAAATAAGTAAATAAAATAAGAGCAGTAAAAAAAAATGTATATGTAAAACAATCACTGACTGAAAAATACTAACATTATAAAATGAAACACAAAATTATAAATTATACAACAATCAGTAAAATAATCCTAATAAAAAAATGTCACACTAGGCGAAATTAATTCATAGATTTAAAGAGCAAAGTAATGTTTAACCTTCCTAATGAAAATCCAGGGTAAAGAAGTACACTGCGTTTAAAGATTTCAACACTTCCAGCTGCTGTTCCATCCGCTCATCGCAAAAAAGATAAAGCTGCCTTCCTTAAAGCTTTTGCTGTGCACTTAGGATCGACTAGCAGAATCCTGCTCAATAACCTATTTGTTCATATTGGTTCATATTTTCAAAACTTATGTGGTGCTTTAAAAAAGGAGAAAAATAATTTAAAAATCATCTGTAACTGTCAGTCTTATGGGTTGGTAAAAATGTTTTTGTTCATTGGTGTATGCTTATACATCAGTTATTAGTTACACCTTTCAAGCATCCTTTTTTGTTTTCAGAGTGGCCTCTGAAAGCAAAAAAGTGGCCTTCTTCATGACGTTGATTCAACAAGGTGTTGACAACATTCCTCTGACATTGTGGTCCAGTTGTTGCAGATTTGTCAGCTGCACATTTATGAGAATCCATCATTCTACCCAAAATGGTAAATGGCCTGTATTTGTATAGCGCTTTACTAGTCCCTAAGGACCCCAAAGCGCTTTACACATTCAGTCATCCACCCATTCACACACACATTCACACACTGGTGATGGCAAGCTACATTGTAGCCACAACTGCCCTGGGGCGCACTGACAGAGGCGAGGCAAAAGAGTTTTATTGAATTGGGTTCTATTGACTTTGGAGGCCAGTGGAATACAGTGAACTCAACTTCCTGAAACCAGTTTGAGATGATCAAGCTTTGTGACATGATTCATTATCCTGCTGGAAACAGTCAGCAGAAGATTGGTACACTGTCTAATAAAGGAATGGACATGGTCAGTAGCAATTCTCAGATTGGTACTAATGGACCCAATATGTGCCAAGAAAACAGTAGCCAAACCACTACACCATCACCAGCCACTGTATACAAAGCAAAATTGGTCCATGCTTTCATTTTATTTACTCTGATTTGAATGTCGCTGGACTCCTCAGACCAGTCAACATTTTTAACATTTTGTTGAGCACATGCGAATTGTGGCCTCAATTTCTCGCTCTTAGCTGACAGGAGTGGCACCATGTGTGAATGCGGTTGTGCATTCAGACATGCTCTCGGCATTGCTTGGTTGTAACTAGTGGTTATTTAAGTTACTGTTTCCTTGCTGTCAGCTTGTAGCAATCTGGCCATTCTCCTCTGACCTCAGGTATTGACAGGAAATCTTTATCTAAATGCAGTGAGTTATGAATGCAGTGTGTGGACTGAATTGTTGCATCGTTGTTAACTTTCTGACCACCTCCAGCCTTATTTCTGAATAGGAGAACCTGTGTCATTGTACGTTACTACCTTGATTAGCTGTTTACATACCCAGACAGTTTTACTGTAACATTTATTTAAAAAAAATACAGTTTGTGTTACACCACAATGATTTTCTTTGTCTGATTTTTCATTAGAGACATCACTGAAGGAAAACCTCTCCCACTGGAGGTGACAGGCATAGAGTACATGAATGATGACCCAGCAATGGTGGATGTTTTGTACGCTAAGGTCAATGTTCCAGATGGATCTGACAGGTTAGTACATCAGTGAATAGTTAAATAACAACATTACAAAAATCCAACATTTTACTGTTTTAACTTTATTTCTTTAATCTCTGTTCTATTTTAATGGCATCACATTATAGGTTGCAGGTGATTGCAGACAGACTGGTAGAGCATTTTGTCTCTGCAGGGCTGATGGTCCGAGAGTGGGACAGAGTGAAGCTACATGGTACTGTGATGAACACTCTGTTCAGAAAAGACTCCACAGGTAAAGACATAAACACACACATGCCAGCCTGACTCGCACAAAGGCATAGTAGAGAAGTTATTGAACTGCTGGGATCGTATTGATTGCTGCCGCCCAGTGAATGTTTGCCAATTTCCCCTCATATCTTTTGGCTTGGAGTGTAGCTGCAGTGACGACAAAGCAGAGTCTTGACCAATTCTGACAACAAAATTGTGCAGAGAGGAATCGGGGAGGCAGTTCTCTGTTTGGCCACAGTTCTGTTTACGTGCACTGAGCTGCATGTTTTCCAAGTACTCTGACAAAAGCTTCATTCATTTTGGACATGGATCAAGTCCAGGAGCAGTTCTCAAATTTGTACTGGGCTTACCAGGAACACAACACAGAGACTGTGCCACTGCTGACCATGTTTACCGCCTTGTGGATAAGCCCTATTAAAATTCAGTTTTTTTCATCTTCTTAGTCCCTATTTCACAAACTAATTTTACTAACTAAATATCCTTGATTTTGCTCGTACTGTTGTAAAGCCACTGACAGGTTCAAGTAAACATGTTAGTTTATCACTGAGATAACATATCTGTATCTGTGTGTTCTGTGCTTTATTGATCAGCTTGTTCTTTACACTCTCGTGTTTTTACAGTGGAAGATACGAGCGCAGCAGGACGTCAAACCGTCAATGAAAGAGAGGCTTTTGATGCCAAAAACATACTAAAGGTTAGCTGAAATTTACTACTGTTGGATTGAGACACATACTCACTTCTTGACTGCAGTTAATAATAATATGGTAGGCAACAGCACTGGGCGGGATGGAGGTGCAGTGGTTAGTAGTGCCAACGCCACAGTAAGACGAGTGCCAACTTGAGTCTCCTTGACTCCTGGGGCTTCCTTGTGGCATATGCATGTTCTCCTTGTGCTTTTCTCTGGGGTCTTTGGCTTCCTCCCACAGTAAAGATTGTTTTGGGTGGTCAAAAAGCCTAGATAAGTGCTATATAAAAGCCAGTCCATTCAAAAAACGTTTTACTGTTTTGGCACAATACACATAGTTTCAATTGGTGAAAAAATAAAATACAGTGTTAGAATTTTGTGTATATACTAATTGGGAAAATGTATAAAAACTCTAAAATGCATAAATAAATGAATACAAATGCGTCTTAATTGCTATGTTCAGGAGCCTGCAGCAATATTACACCATCCAATTGATGCAACATTGTTTTTGTTTAAAGTATATTATGTATAGATTTTCCAGCTGTGGTTGACTTGTCCACAGCTCGTCCCATATGATCTTGTCAGTTAATTGCTTCTTTGCTCTTTTAGTGAAAAAAAAAACATGAAAATTGAGAGTATTGTATTGATTTTTGGTTCTGATTTACATTTATCTTCTTTAGGGAAAAGGTGTTTTCATTTCACCTGGGACAAATCGATTATGTTCTCACATTAGTTGTGATACGAGCTATCTAATTTAACGTTAAACCACCTGATCTGCTTCACGGCAGTCCAAGCTCAAATTGTGTATAGTTATGACTTCATGTCCAGTTGGGAAACACTGATGCACTCTTGTTTTGCCACCCTGAAACTGAACCAGTAATAACAATTTCCTCATGTGCTTCTCCTAGTGTGATATGTCAAAATTGCCCCCCCCGCCTCCCCCCACCTATTTTTTGTGTCACAGCTGTAGACCTTTTATATTAAAAGAGGAGTGAGCCTCAACAACCAATATTCAATTGTGTCTTTAGGCACTTTGTTAGAAATTGAAAAGTAGTAAAAACATATTATTTGTTCCAATTTCTTAACTTCAGTCTAGAGTCTACAGTTTGACAGGCATAAAATAATATTTTGTACCAACAAGGCGATTCCGAATTAGGTACTAGCCAAAAACCTAGCATATCTCTGCCTGGTAAGTAGTGTGTCCTTAAAAAACTTAAGAAAACGAAGTGAAGTGAACAATATAAGACGTGACAGGCCTAAAAAGTGTCTGCAGCAGACACTGAACACTACATGAAAGTGACACTTTTCAAAACAAAATTCTAACAAAAATTCTAAAGTTGAGGCTTCAAAGCGAGCCCACAAATTAATGGGTGTTTCTGTGTCTATCATTTATATACAGTCTGTGCTGACTGACTACTGAAAACCTGCTATTTTGGCAGAAATATTAGGGAACACTACTTAAGAATGTACTTTATTAGCAGTTGTTATTTTTGGTAAAAAAATAAAAAATAAAAATAACGCACCAGTACAGCTCAAAGACTCTTGGTTGTTTGTGTTGTTTAAAAAAAAAAAACACTTGTCAGAGTCAGGTTGCAAAATCTTCCTGGTGGAGTTTTGACAACTGAAATGCGACACTGGAGATGAAAAGCTCTGACATTCACCTTCCCCTCCTCTACAGAGAAGGTCTTTGTTTGAATAACAACATTGTTGCTGCTGTTTTTTTTTTCTCTGAAAGTGACACAGAGGTAGCAGGCAAACACTCAGCCACCTATAAATATGATAATACCATGTTTGCGACAGCTTACCTTGTTTTCACAATTGAATTTGACAAGCAGTTTTTAACTTTCTAACACAGTGCTGACTGTTTGAAGGCAACACAAGTTGTCCTGCTTTGTTGTAGCACACGGTTGTCTGAAATAGTCTTGAATGTATGTGTATATATATATATATATATTTGTATTTATTGTATTTTTTTTTTTTAACAGGTTTATGAATTTAATGTGTTTTCATTACAGAAATTTGGTGCTTACTGTTTTGGAGAGTTTGAGCTGAATACTGTCCAGCTGTCCCAGAGATATTCAACAGACTGCACTGGATACTACAGCTCTGCAGGGAGCATCAGCTTGTCTTGAGCTCATGCAAGAGTGAGCATATACTGAGGTGGGAAAATTAATAAGGTTTATAGCTTTGAGAGCACTGCAGCATTCTTGATAGTTCTGTCCAGTAGGTGGCAGCATAGATTGAGTCATTTGGCTGTTAACAGAGAGGTGGAGATTGGGTCATGGTTATCCCTTTAATAGAGAAGAATAAAAAATATTAGATGTACTTTTTAAACCACAGTGCCCAAATGAAACATAGAAATCTAGTTAAATGGAATTTTCAGATACTTGTTTTATTCCACATTTTTTTGGCCTGGTATATTTATCTGACAAGTATTTAAAGATAAGATTATACATTAAAACATTTGCTCTTTCATGTATTCCTAAGGACTAAAAAGCTCATAAAATGTATAACATTTTAATAACTTTTATATTTATATCAAATGAAACAGAGAGTTGCAGGAAAATGAAAATCTTATAATCCTGATCATCGTAAAAATTAATAGTTTATGAAAATTAATAGGCAATTTGCAGTTACTTCAGCTATTTCTGTAATGGCCAAAGTAGCTACAACAGTAAACCCATTATTGTAAAATTACCTCTAACAGGAACACATATAGAAGTTGTTAGGAAAAACATAATAGAGGACCTTATATCATTACATTCACTGGCCGCTTAGTTAGGTACATCTGTTCAACTGCTCGTTAACACAAATGTTTAATCAACCAATCACATGGCAGCATCTTATTATATTTAGACATGTAGATATGGTCAAAATGGCCTACTGATGTTCAAACTGCAGTATTCTCTTTGGACCCCTTACTAACTAAGCTTAATTTAAATACCACAGCTTACTTGAGTATTGTTGCTGACCAAGTGCATCCATTATGGCTGCTGTCAGCAGGATAGTGCATAGTTTATACTGCTGTAGTGAATATACATAGAGCCAGTGACGTACCCTATGGAAGTGGCCAGTGCTGTTGCCAACATTTCTATCTGCATTGGCTTTGTCGACGGGGATGTGTAGTTATAATCCTAGGGAGGTGCATATCAGGTTACGGCGTAGGGTTAGAGAAGGGTTTGTTGTTACAAAATACCTATGGTGTTGATTTTACACAGAAATATAAATACCAAATTGTGCCATGCCACAAAGCTCAAAACATCTTAGTGGTTTCTTAAACATGACAGCGAGTTCACTGTTCTCAAACAGTGACCACAGTCACCAGATCTCAGTCTAATAGAGGACCTCTGGGATGTGATGGAAAGGAAGATTGGCATCAAGTATATGCAGTCTGTATCACCTGCCTGATGCTGTCAAGTCAATGTGGACCATAATCTTTGAGGAATGTTTCCAGCAGCACAGTAACAATTTCATCTAAATATTTGGCTTAATTTACAATCTTTGCATCTTGTTCATGTTTACACTTTACACGGCATCCCAATAGATTCAAATGCAGATCTTCTGCCAAACTGGCTTCTATAGCTGTCCAAACACTGGTTGAATTTCATGCTGCTCTAATCTCTTGCTTGCAGTACTCTACGTCATAGCCATGATTTACACCTTTCCTTTCATCTTTTCAACGCACTGCCTCATGAAAGTATGAATGCATCACCAATATGATATTTCAGACCTTTTTTTCCCCTCCAGCTTTTTTTTCTTTTCCCTTTTCTTTAAATCTTTGCCTTTCCCACATGAACCTTGTCTTCACTCCCGACTGTCAACAGTGTCAGTGAATACAGACACTTGCTTTTGCCATCACAGCTTTTTTTCATTTTCGCTTTCCCCTCAGCTGGCAATGCTCTCTGTTTGGAATGCAGGAGGGTGATTGCCAGGCAGCCAAAAGTTACACTGATAAAAACAAAGGGGTCTTTTTGTTTGTCAGCTTTGCAACCCTGTCCTATCCACCCTCCTATCCCAGCAGTGGCATGATTTTCTTTTCTTCTCTTTTTTCTTGAAGCTGCTTGCACAGATTCCCATGCAAATTTTGTTATTGGATATAGACTAGCCAGCTGAACTGCCCATACCCTAACTATTTCATTGTCTTGGAGTGGAATCTTTTCCAACCTAGGACCTGGGACCTAATTAATCATGCCCAGAGCTCTTGACAGCATGCTTTTTAGTGGATCAGGATTGCATCCAACATAACAGCACTCCAGCTAATAACAGAATTCTGACACTTGCCAATACTATTGCTCCTAAGCACAAAAAGAAAGCATCACAAGGCAATTGAAATTTGATTGAATTCATTGAGACTATGCCTCTGTTTTTCTTTTGGCAGGGACATGATTGAAGATGTTTTGCACAGATGTCCGCATTAATGATTGTACCGAAAACACATGAGGAAACATACGTCATCCGTAGACACGGACTCTGAAGACAGATACAATTTGTCCTGAGACTTAATATAACGCATTCAGACTGACTGTTTATTTAAATGGCCATATGTCTTCTTAGTTGTATAGATCGGGAGCATATTGGATTATGGCTGCAATGAAGGAATCATTTCTCACTATCAGACATTCATATTGTCTTGATAAATTGGTTAATTATCTATGAAATGTCAGGAAATTTGGAAACATGGGTAACATTTAATGCCAGATTTAACATTGATAAGTTGGAAGCAAACATTTAGTAAATGGTTTTTGAAACTGTAATTTAGTTTTAATTGAGTTAAAAGCTTCGTGTTTAATATTTAATAAATTTTCAGTCTGTTTTCAGCTATAAATGTGTCCAAGTAAGAATTTGCTCACAAAAAGATTGATAGATTGCTACATTGTATAGATCATTTAGCAAATGTTCTTTATGTCTGTTATTTATATAGAAAGGACATAATATAAAAAGTTGCTGAAAAAATTATTACTACAGTCTGTCTTAAAATCACTTGATTTCTGTAAGGCTAAAGTCCCAAAAAGGCCTAGAAGACCGGTCAGTAAATCCCCTGCAACCGTCACTCTTTAGGGAAAAATGTATATCGACCAAGTCAAGGTTGGAGACAGTTGCTCGTTAAAACTGGTTACAAGCAGTGAAAACTGTGACCAATTTCACCTTGTGTCTGCCAACAACCTCCAGGAAGCACTTGCCACCAGCCAAAGAATATACATTTGACCCTAACCACCAGTGCTTGCCAGATGTTTGCCAATAGGTCTCTGGGACTGTGTGACACGGGCCTAATGCTCCAATCAAACTAGGAAAAACAGTAGTTGAAGATCGTGGCATGATCATGACTACTCAGCCTGCGATGGTGACCAAATCTCCAACCACTCGCAGTCAGTTGTTCTCTTCAAAGAACCTTTGGTACATTAGGTTGGCAATAAAACAGCAATAACACAAAATCAGTCTGCTAAGAGTTTCTAATTAAATGTTGCATGTTTGCATATTTTAAATGGATAAATCTGCAAAAATAGCAAATCGGTTACAATTTTTTGCAAAGCTGTTGTCTACACACGCAGACAAACATATTAAACAGAAATATCTGAAACAATTGTTTCTTGACTGGACACAGTTACACATTTTTCAAAAACAGCCTTTATTGTACTGCTAACATTCCTAGTAATGCCCCACGAAGTCCTAGTCAGAAAAAAGAAAAAACTTTATTTTGGCTATGAAACCACATGTCATATTTCCTACACCATGACACCCTGTTGTCACAGCGTAAGCAATTTTACGTTTCATCTGTGAGTGGTCAGAATGTCACGGCTTATCTGTAAACATAGTTAAATGTGGCTTTGCATGTCCGTGTGGGTGAGCTTGCTTACGCACTGCCCGACATACATAGTTTTTTCTGTCTCTGCCACATCCCTCTACCTAATTAGTCATCTCCGCAGTCCCTGCAGTGAGAACATCCAACTAGACCCTTAAGATTTCAAAACTAGCATGAGCCAATTTAAATAAGACTGATAAATGAGACCCCTGCGTCTGTTGGCGTTACCAGCGACCTCTTTCCCTTTGTGGATCTGCGTCTCTATTTCTAACGATCTAAAGAGACAGAGGAGTTGGGATTTTAATTAAAACGTTACACATTTTAGCTGTTTATGCAGGCATGTGTGCATGTGCTTGTTTACATGCACTGATAAGCATTTAGAAGGGCGGTAAACGACACCCACTGAAAATGTGCCTTTGCAGTATAAAACAAGCTGATAAAACCTTATTTTCCAGCCAATTTGTTTTTGTGATTTTTAAAAGGATTGAAAGCAAAAGCAATCATTTCGTTGAGACTGCAACACTTTTAGAACTTGCACTGAACTGTTCAGTAATAAGAAATTCATATCACATTTGGTAACTGAAGTCTTGTTATCTTGACCAAGTATTGTACCCCCCGCTCCCCCAACCAGATTTGCATAGTTAATTTCATGGCAATGTTCAAAGTAGCCTTTTTAAATGCAAAAGCCAGTTTTTAAATGGGTTTTACTTGATCAGTGTCAGTTTGGGGTTTTTTTTGTTCTTTTCTTTTTAGTACATTACAGATTTTGATATTCAGAGCCACACTTTGGAATTTTTCATAGGGTAATTAGAAATTAAGCTTTCTTTCCATATGGAAAGCGTTAGCGTCTGCTGGGGAAAAAATAGATTTTGGCTGACAGACATGACCTTTAATACAGTAGATATGTTTGATTTGCATGCTTGGAGTAACTAATGACATGCATCAAATCAATTAAGTGCCTAATTACTTTTTAAGGTCACAGTAAGGTTTGCTCAGTGTACACTCAGACTGATACAAAGAATATTTTAAATCAAATATGACATATCGAAAGGTAGTCTGGGCCTTTTTGTGCCGTGTATTCCTCTAACACACTTGAATCCAGTTGTATGAACTTATTCACTTGTGTCCACAGGAAGTAGAAAGGGGCTCTATAAACAATCCTGCTAGACAAAACTGAAATTTTGAAACTGGATATCATTAAGGGTGAAATATGACAGCGTGCCCTTTTTAAACTCTCTTATGTTTGACTCTCCAGTCGTGTGTCACCACCGACTGAATTTCACACTGATCACTCTGTCACTAATAGATGTAAACGGGGCCTTGATGGAGAGCCAAGACTAGAGTATTTGAAATGTCTAATATGTGTCTCTAGCAAAAAGGCAGGTGATCCCTGCACCAGCTCTTTATCATTCAGAGTGCTGAGTCTGGAGGCTGCCTGCAGCTGTCCACGTCTGTTTACTGCTGGAGGCATTCACACAGGGAGGGAAGGCAAAAAGCCTAAAGTGTTTGAACAGTAAGAAGTCATTCAGAGCTACTGTTTACTTTATGTACACTTAGCACTACAAGATTTTTAAATAGGGCTGCAGGAGATTATCATCACCAGTTACATTCTGTTACTTAAAAAAAAATAAATTATACTTTAAGCTATGAATTGTCAGGAATTGTTGAACATGTTGCATATAAGGACCCAAATTGCCTCTCAAAATCTAGATGTGTTCCATTTACAGTAATATGAAAGAGAACAGTCATTAAATCCTCACATTTAAGAAGCAGTAGCTAGTGAACGTTTTGACATTTTTGTGTAGTAAACGATAAATGATAAAACGTTTGGCAAAGGACTAAGTCTACCAGATGTTTGACAGATGTGTATACACAATCAGCAGACACAGTCGAGATGACCTGCTGAAGTTCAAACTGAGCATCAGAATGGGGAAGAAGGGTGATTTTAAGTTACTTTTCAGAAACTGCTGATCTGCTAGGATTCTTCTACACAAGCATCACTAGTGTTTACAAAGGATAGTTTGAAAAAAAGATGAAGTATCTAGCAAGCAGCAGCTCTCAAAAATATCTTGTTGATGCCAGAGGTCAGAGGAGAATGAACTTACTGCTTCAAGCGATAGGAAGGCAACAGTAACTCAAATAACACTTGTTACAACCAAGCTATAAAGATGAATATCTCAGAATACACAACACCCCAAGCCTTGAAGCAGGTGGGCTACACCAACAGAAGACCATACCAGGTGTCACTCCTGTCACTTAAAAACAGGAAGCGGAGGCTACAATTTACACAGGCTCACCAGAAGACTGGAAAAAATGTTGACTGGTGTGATGAGTCTCGATTTCTGCTACGACGCTTGGATGGTAGAGTTAAAATTTGGGGTAAACAACATAAAAGCATGAATCCATCCTACCTTGTATCAAAGGTTCGGGGAGGAGGTGGTGGTGTAATTGTGTGCCAGATATTTTCTTGGTACACTTTGTGCCTTTTGTCTACTTACCGTGTCCATCGTGTCTTCTGAATGTTACTTCCAGCAGGATAACACACCACTCCACAAGGCTCAAATTATCTCAATGTTTCTTGAACATAACAGTGACTTATCTGTGTACAAATGGCCTCTACAGTTACCAGATCTCTATCTAATAGAGCATTTTTGAATATGTGATGCTATTATGTCAACATTGACCAAAATCTCTGAGGAATGTTTTAGCAACTTTTTGAAGTCTAGCCACAAAGAATTAAGGCAATTGTTAAGGCAGAAGGGGGTCCAGTAAAGTATTAATACTGGGCTAACTGGTGATTGGAGTACTTGTGACCTTCTTCTTCTTTTAAGATGTGCAGCCCAGTGCTTCATGGTCTATTTTTATGAATGCTTTTTGAATGAATATATCTGCATATTAGACCAGGAAGGAACAATGAAAGCACTAAGAGTCAAAGGAAACTGTAAGGTGGTGTTTCATAAAATCAAAAATGAGCTCAAGGTTGCTAAACTGTTCCGGAGAGCACTGCAGAGGTGGGTGATTGCTGTTACTGTATCACTAGTCCTGCTTTACAGAACAAAATAATATAATAACACAAGCACAGATGATGGTCAACACTCTTATTTCAGCACTAAGTGTGAAGGATGCTTATACAAAAGCTATAAATGTTGTGTCATCTGTTTATCACGCAATGTGAAATTCCTTAGTGCATCACTTAACACTCAATTGTTTTTTTTACTGTTAGTATATAAAAGTGCAGCTGATGGGGATTTGTCATTTATAATAGCTTAATAATACTTAGTAAAAATGAAACTCTGTACTGAGACCGAGCGTGTCACAGTTCAGAGTATTCGCCATCTTCTGTTTATTGTGCACGTTTAATTGAAAAAGGTGCTATACTATCTTCCACCTCTGCAGCAGCTGCCTGCAGTGCAAAACCGCAGCTTTCAGTACTTGCCAGGAAAAGGCAAACTGCTGTCAGACTGCTCTCAACTAACTTTGCACTTTTAATAGCTGAGTGACCCAGTTTGAATCCTATTGAATTAAATCTATACACATTTATAGCAGCTCTACTTACAGCTGTAAGTCACTAAGGATTACTTATTAAATGTCTCCCCGTGCGGTTTATTCTCTCAAAATATCTTCTTTTGATGGGATTTCCTGTCCATGATCCTGTTTACAGGCTATTTGCTTTTTTTCTTCTTCACCGTGTCGTTGGGTACCTCCAACTGGACATACACAATTCACACACACACAAAAGCAAAAACCACAGAGGGGACCTTTGTAAGAAAACAAGTACTTTATTACTTTATCAATATTTCATGCCTTAATGCCCTTTACTGTACTGTAAGGGTCCCTTTTTATTTCTATTTTCTGTACATTTGTATTGCATAATTGCATATGGGCATGAAGTAACTGACTTAGAAAGTCACCTGTACAGTAGTGTGCAAAAGTCTTGAACCACCCATCATTTCTTTATATTTTGCTTCCAAGGAGAACTATCTTGTTGTTGTTTTTTTTAAAAGTGGTTGTGAGCAAGGGTTCTCCAGGATCTTGGAAGGTCTTTCAAAGTTTTTCGTTGGACATCGGCTGCTTTTTAAGCAACTTAATGCTCACCTATGAATCATTCAAGGATAAAAGAGCAATTTATTCAAGGGATGAACCTGTATTGTCCACACATAACAGACAACTTGGTAATAAAAATACACAATTTCTTTAATTGAATCAACAAATGCCAAAGGTAACACAGTTTGACAGGCAGACAGTTTTTGCACCAACAAGGTCACTCCTCAAGTGCTATTAACTGAAAACCTGCCATATCTCAGCATGATGTGCAGTGAGTCCTTAAGCAATTTAAGGAAACTGGACAAGTGGAGGGTGGAAAAGAAGTGGCAGGTCTATGTAACAATCTAGAGCAGATGAACAGTATCCAAAAACTCATGTCCTTAAGAAACTGGAAAAGATCCAGCAAAGACCTGACACAGGGCCTGAGAGATGCATCTGACCCTGTTTGCCAAAATCTCATCGGAGATGATGTCAGTTAAAGTGGCTGTCAAGAAGCCATTGTGTTGCCAGTGGCAACAGGTCTTGTTAAGTGACACATCCATTTTTAAAAATTTTGCTTCAAATCGTCATCACCATATATGGAAGTACAACACTGAGCGTGTAGAGCCATCCTTAAAACACAGTGGAGGCTCTATCATTGTCAGGCTGTACGGATGAATGGATTTATAAATGCAGAAAATAGTTTAATCAAACAATCATACCAAATACTGACTTTCAAGCTTGTTCGAATTGTATGTACGCTTGGACACATTTTAAAAAGTCGCTGCTCCCATTTTCTTAGGAAAATAAAAAGAGGTGGCTCAAGACATCTGAGAATTTATAAGCAAGTAATGAAAGAAAATCAGCAGACTAATTTTTAGATGAACATAACGGTCATTAGTTGCAGCCCTGGGGGTGCTTTAAAGCAGCGGTCCCCAACCTTTTTTGCGCCACGGACTGGTTTATGCCCGACAATATTTTCACGGACCGGCCTTTAAGGTGTCGCG